CTGCCCCCCCTTCCTGTGGGACACAGTTCAGCTCCTCTATTTCCTCCCTTCACCCCATCCTCATCAGGAGGATAGTAGGGCAATGGGGAGGGACCCTGAACCTGATGATGGAAAAGATAACGCAGGGTTGAGACACAAAGCCTGGGATCCCAGGGCTTTCAGCGATTTGGTTGTGTGTCCTTGGATAAGTCAGTTCTCTTCGGAGACCTGGGTGCTTTCAACTGCAGGGGAATAACTTTGCTTTCCCAAGGTTGTAGAGAAGGATGAGAGCCCCTGGAGAAGCTGGTGGCTCAGGACCCGTAGTTAGTCCCTTCTTCCCCTTCCCACTTGGCGTCCCACATTAGGGCGTTGGTCTTTGTGGGCACCCCCTGAGGGCGCCAGGCACCTTCTCATTGTGACCAGCCTGGGGCCCCTGAAGAAGGCCTCTCCAAAGACAGATGGTGAAGGACAGACCAGAGGGTGCAGAGCCACATGGCCTGGGCTTGAGTCCAGACCCTGGCTCCTTGGCTGTCTGTGGACAGGTAGCACTGCCCTTCTGGGCCCTAGTTCCCTAACCTAGACAGTGAGAGTCAAAGTAGTTGTACTTTGAGAACTGGGAGTTGGGTCACCAGACATCTTCATAGGCCATAAGAGAATTCAGTGGGCTGTTAACACGACAGATGGCTCAGGGCATGGCAGACACTCAGTAAGAGGCAGGAATCAATATGGGGTGGTGGGAAAGACAGCCCAGGACAGAGGTGAGGAGCACAGGACCACAGAGCTCAGCTTCCTGCCCACCCTCACCCCTCTCTCCATCACTGCAGACTGCTTGTGTTCCCTAGAGTGATCCAGAGCACTCTGTTCCTGCTGTCCCCAAGTGTCCCTGCAGCCTGAAGCATCCTTTCCCTCCTCTGTGCCTGTTGAACACTCTCTGGGACTTAAGAGTCTCACTGGCTTGTCCTGTGTATTTATTCCTGCCTCTGTCCTTCCCAAGTGACCCCACCCTCCCAGGGCTGAGTTTCCCTTCTCCCAAATGCTTAGGACCATAGTGTTTCGGATTTTGGAATATTTGCATACAGTCTACTGGTTGAGCATCCCTAATCTGAAAGTTTGAAATAGGAAATGCTCCCCAATCCAGAGTTTTAGGAGTGTTCTGTCAGGACTCAAAAAGCTTTGGATTCCATTGGAGCATTTTGAGTTCCAGATTTTCACATTAGGCATGCTCAATCTTCAATACCGCTTTGTTCTTGCCTCTCAGCTTCATAGCTACCCTTTATTGTCTGCTTGGCAAAAATGGAGCTGCAGACTTTCAATAGATTTCCTTTGCAGCAGAAGGAGCCAGAGGGACTCTGTGGGAGGAGCAGGGTTCTCTGTGGTTTGATTTTTATGTGGGCTGCTTTGTGCTCCTGTCTCGAGGTCGCTGGAGACAGGTACAGGGGACATTCAGCGGTGCTCAACTCCATCAGGTTTCAGTGGCTTCCCTTTAGATGGTTTCCCAGTCTGTCCCAGACTCGAGTCTCCTGGCCTCAGCCTGCCTGCCAGCACCTGTGGATCAGCGCTGGCCTGGCAACCCAGAACACCTCAGGGCAGCTCTGTGAAGTGGAGGTCTTAATAAGCCCAGTGTTTGTGGGGCACAGAAAGATTAGCAACTTGCCCTGCCAAGTGTTCTAAACTGAACACAGAAACTTTAAGGAACTAGTGACGGTAATAGGTGGTCCTCTACGGAGGGGTAAAGAAGAACGCAAAAGGATGGCCTAGGACTCAGGGAGGGTACTCAAAGGAGCTACCCTGGAAAAGGGCTGAGGTTCAGCCCTCACTGGAGATGGTGGCTGTGGCCCAACAGAGTTGCCCTGGGAAGTAAGCAAGTTGCCTCGTGCCTGGAAAGCATGTCGCTCAGCACCTGGCTCAGGGTGAGGGCCGTGAGGGCTTGCCACTGGGCTGTCTCTAGTCCACATGCCCGCTCCCATGTGTATTAGTTCCTGTGGCTGCTGTAACAAACTATCACATATTTGGTGGCTCAAAACAACTCACATGGGGTTGGGGCTTTAGCTCAGTGGCAGAGCGCTTGCCTAATATGTGTGACGCAATGGGTTCGATCCTCAGCACAAGAAAGGAAAAAAGGAAGAAAGAAAGGAAGAAAAGCATTTACAACCCCCCCAAAAAAAATTTTAAAAAAACTCACATTTTTTTCTCTTGCAGTTCTGGAGGTCAGAATCCACCATCAAGTGTCAATAGGGCCATACTCCCTCAGAGGCATTAAGGGGAGAACCCATTTCCTGCCTTCCATTTCTGGTGCCTGCCCTCTGCCTTGGCCTCCTGCCAGATCTGCCTAGTTTCTGGGTGTATTGACATGGCCTTCTGTCTTCTGTCTCTGCTCAAATTTCCCTCTGCCTCCCAGAAGGACACTTGGGATTGCATTTAGGATAGAGCTGCATCATCTAGGATAATCTCATCTCAAAATCCTTATCTTCATCACATTTTAATTTTTTTTATTCATGTCATCACGTCTTATAAACTTGCTAGGCTCCAGGGTTCCGACCTGATGTCCTTGGGAACCCTTACTCAGGCCAGCACACCACATCCCTCCCCATCCTCTGTTTGCCTGCTCCATGCCCAGGGGTGACCTTGACCACATCTGCAAGCTCCCTTGCCCTTCGTCCTCCAGGTCAGCTTGGACAAAGGGAGGCACGGACAGAAGGCTGGTGGGTGGCTGGAGAGTACACCCCTGGGCCGCCGCCCCACCCTGGTTCAGTTCTGGCAGTGGAGGCCGCGACATCCTCAGGCAGCCCCTCTTTGTGATTGGCATCCTCTGCAGGTGGCAACTACGCCATTTCTCCCCCCTGTTCCTCCAGGACTCGGCAGAACCTGACAAGGACCCACCCTCCCTCCTGTTGCTGGAAGCTGGGAACCTTCCCATCCCTGGGCAGAGAGAACCTGACTTAGGGCGGCTCAACTTACTGTTTTTTGATTCAGGAGCAACTGTGCTTTGAGTTTGGAATCTGACCTTCTCCTGGGCTGGCCACAGGCTGCGTGGGACTGTCACATGCCCATAGGGCCACTTCCCCATCAGCCCTGGGGTCCCCAGGGTGAGCCACCGGCATCCCTGCCGTGCACTGTGCTGTTCAGCTGGATGCTCAGTTGGTGTGTGGACTGCGTTTTCAATTTATGGTATTTTCAACTCACCACAGGTTTATTGTGAAGTGACCCCTTTTAGGTTGGGGACCGACTGTGTCTGTAACCCCGCACACACCTGTAAGTGGTGCCTTTATTAGAAAGTCTGTTTAAGAAATACCACTGCAAGGGGCCGACTCCTCCCTGGCAGGACCCGGCTGACCGAGCACCATCAGTGGCTCTGCTGTTGCTCACTGAGTGTGCTCCTTTGTGCTAAGGTTTCATAGGGTCTAGGTGGCAGCCAGAAGCCCAAGTGACAATGCTTGGAAGGCGCAAGAGTGTGGAAGATGCTCAATTTCACAGCAAATAAGCAAAGTAAAGGACCTTAATGGCCACAGATACTATTTCTTCATCTATTGTATGGGCGATAAAGGGAGCCTGGTTTCACAGGAGATTGGCACTGCCAGTTATTGACAGGAATGACGTCGGCTCCCTTTCTGTGGAGGGCAATTTGGCCTGATCCATGAAAGTGATGTAACTGTTCTGTGACCTGGAAAGTCCACGCCCCGGGTTTTCTCCTGCAGAGTTATCTCATGCCTGCCCAAAGGCGACAGACAAGGATCAGCAGCTTAGGGTTGTCCCTGTGCTCGGGGACGGTCTGCCTGAACGCCCATCACCAGGAAGGCTGCTTCCATGCCCTGGGGGTCCTGGTCCACTTGTGTGGCTATAACAAAATGCCCGATGCTGGGTAAGGCATACAGAAAGAGGTTTATTTGGCTCATGATTCTGACGGCGTGACAGTCCAAACAGCACGATTTCTGACACCCCTCTGGGACCAACATGGCAGATGGCATCACATGGAGGGAGCATATTTGAGGAGACCCACATGGCCAAAGAGTGAGCAAGAGACCAAGGAGGGGCCACTCTTTTAAAGAACCCAGTCTCCTGAGAACCAACCCAGCCCCACGGGAGACCTAACCACTCTCTCGGAGACCCACATTAGTCCCTCCTGAGGGTGGTGCCACCACGGTCATTCCATGACACCCCCCACTAGGCTCCACGTGTGACCGTCCCGCCACCTGTCAGTAGAGCCAACTGGGGACTGGGCTTCTGGCACATGAACCCCCCGCAGGACAAACCACGTCCAAAGGACACTGATCTGGGGCGGGTTCGAGGGCTTGTTCTGAGGACACTGAGCACGTGACACTGCGTGATGAGTCTGGAGGTGCAGCAGCACACCATGGGCCTGCGTGTGCGTCAGCCCCTAGCCAGGGCCGCTCCACCTCGGCACCGTGGCCCCCCGGGCTGACGGTCCCGGGGCCGGAGCGTCCCGTGTGTTGCAGGTGCCAGCAGCAGCCTCGGCCTCCCAAGCAGCAGCCTTTCTCCTGGCCCCGTGAGGGCAGAGCTCCCGCTGGGGACGGCCTCGGGAAGGGAGCACAGGGCACCAAGGACGGTGTTGCCTCCTGGGAGGGGACTGAGGAGGAGTCAGGCTTCACCCACCGGCGAGTCCTCGGCCGGCCTCAGCGTGTCCTGGGAACCCGGCCTCCCTCCGGAGACTCTCCGGCTGGCTGCGTCAGCTCTGGCTGCCCTGGGTCTCTCTCACCTGGTCCTCTGCAGGGACCCTCCTCTCACTCCCTTGCCTGTCACCTCCACACAGAGCCCTTCYGCGGCCACCCGGGCTGGGCAAGGACCCTCTCTTCTCCACCTCTCTCTCTGGCCCTCCGCATCCCTGATGTTTGTTACGATTTCTACCTGTGCCGTGTCTTCCCTCAGGGACTCCCTGAGGGCAGGGGCCAGTCCGCCTCACTCGGGCTCTGTCCTCAGGGCCGGGCACAGAGCAGGCAAAGTGTTCTTGAAGGATAGGAGCCTGCTCATTGACCAAATGCCCCTCAGCCTCAAAGATCCCCCCCGGGACAAGATCAGGCATGACAGACACACAGGGACACACTCTTCGTTTCTGTGCCCTGCCCCTGGTGCTAGGAAGGGCAGCTGAAGTCACTCSCTGAATGTCGTCATCCACAGGGTGGAGGGGGGTCCATCAGCCCAGCTCCTYACCCCTCTMAGTCTYGTCCTTSCTGGTTCACAGATGGTGTCTATACCGCGTCCTCACGTGGCAGATGGAGGACTCTGCCTGTTCAGGGAATCTGTCCCATTTGTGAAGGTTCAGTCTTCATGACCTAATCACCTCCCCAAATCCGGGGGTCAGATTTCAACACAGGAGTTTTGGGGGAGCACGGATTCCGGCACTTGCCTGGCCAACYGACCCATCACGGGAGCCCATCTCTGCCGTGGATCTCAGGGTGGGKCTGCTGCTGGAGCTGTTCCGCTGGTGGAGCCTGGACAGATACAAATGGGAGCATCCATGGAACATGCCCAGAATGTGGCTGGCGTGGACAGAGGGCTCGGGAGACAAGGGCTGCTGCCGTGGTGCCCAGGCCGCCAGGCTGGCTGCCGAGTGACCAGGCACTCTTCACCTGGCCGTGATGCGGGCTGGGAAAGGGACACGGCTACCCCGTGCTCAGCGCCAGGACTGGGATCCTAACACGCGGCCTGGCTCCAACATCCCCATGGCTGACCACAGGTGCATACTCTTTGCCGTGACCCACTGGGGGGGGTGGCTTTCCCCTCCCAGGAGATGGTGGCAGCCTTGCCCATGGCCATCCTCCAACCAAGCAGGGTGCAGGTGAATGGACGTAGGGGTGGGGTGAGAGGCGCAGCCTGGCCTGGCCCTGGAGGTGGAGCCCTGTCTCTGTTGGGGCAACCCCGATGGGTGTGGCCCTGGAGCAGGCAGGAGAGGGCAGGAGACCATCTGCCCTCGCCCCTCAGGCTGAGGCCCTGGGAGGAGCCCTCTGCTTTCTGTACTGCAGCTTCCCTGTGGGTAAGGATAGGGCCCACTGGGAACTTTGGGTGCTTCCCTTGGGTGGCTTTTTGCCCCCTCTGGGCCTCCGTTTCCTCCTCTGTAACGTGGGCCTGCTAACCTGGCCAGGTGCATGGGCTGCTGGGGGAAGTGGGCGAAGGTGTGCGGGGCTGGAGCGTGCTCAGTCCCGGCCAGCGCCTCCTCCTCGGTCGCTCCCACCTCCTTCTGAAGCACGGGCTGCCCGGGGCTGTCCGTCACCATCTCCTGGGCTTTTACCTGTCCTGCTCCCTGGGGACTCGGCTCTCCTCTTTGTTCCACAGAGCTTCTCCAGGAGCCGGAAGTGGCCTGGCCTAGAGGGCAACACAGGTGTCCTCTGACACATGCATGGTCCCACACGCATCCCGACGTGGTAAGTCTGTCCTGGTCTGGGGGCTGTTGGCCCATCGGGGCCGGGTCCCTGTAGTGTCCTGTGTAGTGTGGCACCTGGGGTCAGTTGGGAAATGAGCAAATGCAGGAGGGGAGGGAAGAGCAAGAAAGGGAGAGAGACAGAAAGAAGGGACACACACACACACACACACACACACAGGAATACTACACAGCCTTTAAAAGAGAGGGGACCTGGCCATTTGTCCTGGATGAACCTGGGGACACTCTTAAGTGAAGCCAGACACCAAAAGGCAAATACTGCATGATTTCACTCATCTGTAGGACCTAAAACAACAATGTCAAACACAGAAATGGAAAATAAAACAGTGGTTACCAGGGGCGAGGAGAAACAGGGAGACATGGTGAAGGGACACAAATGAGGAGGTACGCAGGGTGCACAGGTCCAGGGCTCGCATGACCCTGGGGCCGCAGCTGATGGTACTGTGTTCAGGAGCTTTGCTAAGAGTAGACAGCAGGTGATCTGGCTACACGAGGGCCAGCTGGCTCATTTCTCGGGATGGTCTGTCCTGCCCTTGCCCGGGTGCTCTGAGTCCCTGCTGTGTGGGGAATGCCGTCACCTCCCTGGGAGTCTGCACAGCTCAGGTACACTGCCAAGCCCTCCCTCTGCAGGCCAGCCCTGGGCTCTGAGGACCTCGAGTTCCAAACGGGCAGGACCTGGCTCTGACTCCTCTGTGTCCCCGCCCAGGGCCTGGCAGGTGGGGGCCGGGGAGAGGAGGTTTGTCCAGCAACTGATGAGAACCAGGCACCCGGGCCCCAGGCCTGGAGCTGGGGCTGYAGTCTGTGCAGGCTGGACGGCACTGGTGGCACCAACGCGTGGTGATCCTCTAGTTCACAGCACACGCTCTGCCTTCTCCTGCCAGAGCCTTGGGCCGTGGGGGAAGCACACGCTCTGTCCCTCTGCCTTGGGCAAGCCTCCTGCCCTCCCTGGGCCGCACACAGGCTGGGATCCCTTTAATCCTCTCCTGTGGGTGGAACTGGCTTCTCTTTTGAAGCCCTCACCCCCGGCACCTCACTGTGCCACTGTATCAGGGGAGCCAGATTTACACAGGTACTCACACTAAAGTGGGGTCAGGTGGGGGTCTTAATCCTATGTGCGCTGTAAGACAGGTCAGGACACAGACACACAGGGAGGAKCGGGGCACCCGCAGGCCCTGCCCACACCTCGATCTCCAGTTCCAGTCTCCAGAATCGGAGAAAGCTCACTGCCGTGTTCGAAGGCTCCCAGTCTGTGCTGCTCTATTGTGGCAGCCCCAGCAGAGTGATGAAGCCCCGCTGCGAGTCTTCACTGTCCTGCGTCCCTTCGCAGGGCCTTCCCCAGGGCTGGGGGCCTTGCCTGACGCCTTCCCTGAGGAGGGTCCTCATCAGGGGCAGCACAGGGCYCCCCTGCTCTGAGGGACCTTGGCGCAGCCCCTCGTGCGGCCGTCACACTGGGAAGGAGTTGGAGAGCGTGCTGCCAGCGCAAGGGTGCTGTGTGGGGGCTGGGTAGGAACCGGTCCCTAATAAGTGCCCCCTGGTGKTTCTGCTGGGCCAGTGTGGCCCCGGCCGGCAGCCCCACAGGTTGGTAGCTGAGCTCAGCCTGGCACAGGGACTTACCTCCAGCCCAGGCCTGTGGGGTTGCAGCTTCCAACACGTTGGGTGCTTCTGGCTGCCCCAGCAACTCTGGTCTCCTGAGGGCCAGGGCTTCTTTGGCCCTCCACCGAAGCATCTTCATCCTAAGGCAGTGAGCCCTCGGATGAGTGCTGGGCTCAGTCCCACTGCAGTCCCTGCCTCCCCCACTATTCCCACAGGGAGCTCAGCCCGGAGCCAGAACAGGCCCTTCCTCTTGCTCCCTCTGTGATCAGCACTGCCTGCTTCACCCCAGCAGACAGACACAAACCCCTGCTCTCTGGGTGTGGACCCTCTCCCAGCCTCCAGTCTGTGCCCAACTGGCCTTAGAGATGGCCCTGCACCTCCTCAGCTCCAGGCCTCCTGTGGCACCCGGCCCTTCAGCCAGGCGCCCCCACCCTGCTTGTCCATAGCTTACCACCCTGTCGCTATGTGTGCAGCTTGGTCTGGGGACTTTTTATTTTACACATTCTTGTTTATCTTGATATTATGGGTAAAAGTCTGCATGTCGTACAAGGGGCTTCCTGTCTCTGTGAAAGCTGGGTGGTGTGCGGGCGTGGATGGGCCCCTTCGCCYCTCACTGGATGGATCTTGATTAACGAATCATGGACATATCAAAGATAAATGGTGATCATGGATGAATCCTTTATCTACAAATCATGGATAATTCAACAAATGTAGAGTAACATATTCTTTTTAAGCCCACATGGAATGTGTATTAAAAACTAAACAAAAAATGTGCTACAAAGAAAATAAGAAATTGAAGTAATACATAGTATATTTTCTCATCTTATTGAATTTAAGCTAGAAACAAAAAGATCATTAGAAAATATTGGTATCTACAAGATCCTGTGGGTCAAAAAATTATCATGGAAATTAGAAATATCCTAACCAAATGAGAATATAAGTAATTTATATCAACATCCATGAGGTGCAGTCAAAGTGCTGCTTAGAGGGCGATTTTCAGCCTTGAATGCAGATCAAGCACAAGGGCTGAGGGTCAAGGACATGCAGTCCCTTTCGAGAAGGGAGACAGACAAAATGAACTGGAAGAAAATACGGGGAGGGAAATAAATAAAGGCAGCGTGCACTGGGCAGGCTGGCGATGCCCTTGAACTCTGGTACTCACGCAAGGAGGACAAGGCAGAAGAGGAGCAGCGCGGACGCCATGGCCCCGTACACCGTGCCCTGGACCAGCCCTCGCAGGAACACGCTGGAAACGGAGCTCTTACCTGTGATGGGGAATAGAGGGTTGGTTTTCTCCTAGGGCTTTGAGGTCGGTGCTCTCTCCTCCCACCCTGGGCCCATCCCGTTCTGGTCCTGAGGTGTCTTCACTGTGGTGGGGGTTCGMAGGCCCCAGCACACTCACCTGGTATCAGGAAGATGCTGGAAGTGTGGATTCCATACGGATTCCTGCCCGCACAGTGCAGCCTCCTGACTATTTCTGGATCCCCCCTGAGGCTGATGGTGCTGTTGGCCCAGGGGCCAAGCGTGGTGGAAGTCACCTGGAGGCCGCCATCCACGCTGTTCACACCCACAGGGACACCGCCCACCCACCACTGCACAGAGGGCGTGGGGATCCCGTGGAAGGAGCAGCTGCACTGCAGTGTCTTCTCCCAGGAGCAGGAGGCGTTGAGCAGCCTGGCKGGTGCTGTGGAGAGGGAGTGGGAGTCGGCAAGGCACCCGACTTCCCTGCTCCCCTCAGGACCCAGCTCTCCCCTTAGTTGTTCTTTTCTTTTTTAAAATATTTATTTTTTAATTTTTAGGTGGATACAATATCTTTATTTATTTTTTACGTGGTGCTGAGGATTGAACCCAGTGCCTCACAGGTGCTAGGTGAGCACTCTACCGCTGAGCCCCAACTCCAGCCCTTAGTTGTTCTTTTCAGGGAGTTTCAGAATCTCAGAGTGGGGCTGGGACACAGAGAGGCTCCCCATCATCTGCCCCAAACTCGGGCTCTGCTCTTAACCCTGACCTCTTGGGCCCAGAGGGTAGGGGAGATGTGACTGTTGCAATCAAGGACCCAGGACTTTCTCTTGGGGTCACCATTTTCCCATGKCCCCAGCACTCACAGACTGCTTGGAGCTTGGCCAGGCTACTTCTGGTCCAGTTCTCTAGGGAGAAGTTCAAGTGACGTCCAACAATGGTGCCATGGTCCTCGGGCTTCAGGGTGAGGTGCAGCCCGGAGGAAGAGGAGAAGGAGGAAGAGGAGGAGGAGGAGGAGTCATTGCTGGAGACAGCAGTATTGGAGGACATGGTGGCTCCTTCCAGGAACTGGTCTCTTTGTGGGTGTCTAGATGGTGCAGGTCAAGGTCACCTCCCTCGCCGCAGGAATCCTGGGATGTAGAGGTCTGGTTCTGGGTSGGGTCTGAAGGAGAGGGAGGGAGTCCACACTTGGGGTCAAGAGACCCTGGTGGACACTGCACTGTGTTTCCATCTGGAACCCCTCCCCGCTGCCACCCTCCCAGCATCATCATGGAACCTGGGATTGTGATCTTGGCGTGGACTTTCACACCCAGACTTCCTTTCTGTGCACAGAGAGGGCACACCTCGTGGCAAGGGTGAGTGCACTTCACGTAGGAGGCAGAGCTGGAACCTGACCTCTGCACTTTCGAGACTGAGGGTGAGCACCTGTTCTGAGAACCTGCTTTGCCTGGTCCCTCTGCTGTCCTCAGACTGAGTCCCCAGTGCTAGCTCCTCTGGGTCTCCTCTCACCACCCCACTCCTCCTCAGGCTCTGCCCCTTCCTGCCTGGTCTCTGATCATGTCCCCCTCTTTATTACGAGCTGGAAGTTGCTGGGAAAGTCACTTCCCTTCTCTTTGCCATTTCTATCCCGAAAAATAAAGTAACAGCTGCATTTATCTAATGGTATTGTTCATGTAAAAATTTAATATTCAAGGTTTTGTAAAGTACTTGGTGAAGTAAAAGTGACACAATTATCAGAACCCCCTCTGGATTGCCTTCTTTGCAAAGCACTTAGTGCAAGAGACTCAAAGTCACCTGACACTCGGAGTTCAGCATCATCCCTCAGGGACAGCAYTACTTTGTTCTCTTAGATCTGTGTAGAACAAGCAGCCACGCTGTCCTTTCGAGTATATCACGGACCTGCAGGGCCAGTCTTGTTCCTCAGGACTCCTTCCAATGGGGGACTCTGTCCCTGGCATCACCAGCAGTGGTGGCACTGGGTTCATCTGCAGCCCCAGAGAAGCTGATGTTTTCATTGAGCCAGTAGCTTACCATCATGGAATGCCTGGGGATTCTTTGGGAAATTCCCACAGGGGATTATAGCACACACTCATTCACTGATGTGTGTGTGTGTGTGTGTATACACACACACACACACACACACACACACACACACACATACAAACATATATTTGGTACCAGGGATTGAATCCAGGAGCGCTTTACCACTGAGCCACATCCCCAACCCCTTTTTGTATTTTATTTAGAGACAAGGTCTTGCATAGTTGCTTAGGGCCTTTGCTAAGGTGCTGAGGCTGGCCTTGAATCTGCAATCCTCCTGCCTCAAGCTCCCGAGTCTCACTGGTATATTCTTGACTTCCATCAATACAGAAGAAAGTCTAACATGTAAAACAGGTAGGGAGGGATCTAACTTGAGAGAGGGACCTCCCTCAGGTCCTCAGTATCTGCCCTGTGCATCTAGAGAGCAGGGTTTGTACCCATTCCCTGGGTGGGGGTGGAGCCTGGAGCAGGGTTGTGGTTGACACCCACACAGGGAGCCTGGTGCCCTAATGGCCTTGTGGAGTTGCTACACCATCCTCCAGGCCGTCCCTGTGCTTCTATCATCCTTTCCAAGCCAAAGAGGAAAACGTGTCCTTTCTACACATACACCACATGTTCCTACCTCTCTGTGTTGGCTTGGGCCACTGCCTTTTATGACTCTTTCTTCTGCCTACTTTGAATCCCACCTCCTTCTAAGCCCAGGTCAAAGGTAACTTCCTGCTGGAAATTCCTCTCTGGATCCCCACAACCTGGACCCCAGAGGCTCTTCATCAGCTTCTGAGGCCTCTTCTAAGGCAGTGTTTCAAGCAGTCCTGAGGGTGACTCACCTGATACCCAGCCTCCTGGGGTCCTTATTTCAGATTTGTTCAGGCAATCAAATCCCAAGTTTGAAACAAACAAACAAAACCCTCTGTTTTTCTGTCTCCTTTATGCCTAAGAGTGTAAATGTGACAGCTTTGGCCAGTGAACCAGGTGGAAGACAAATGCTATAAAATTATTATCAGCAAATAAACACCTATTCATCCTCCTCCCTTTATGCCATCAAGATTGAGCTTTGAAAGCCTGTTCTTTGCCTGGAATATTAGCTAATAAAATCCCAGAGCTGGTTCAAAAAAAAAAAAAAAAAACAACAACTAAGTTTTCACAATAAAGTAAACTAGTCTCAGAAAGAGTTGAAGGAGACATTCCTTTCCCTGCAGCAATAAATCAACAGATTTTGTTGGGTGTTATAAAATGGCTCAAGGAATTGGATTTGATACTGTGCAAAACAGAGAACATTTATTAGGGTATCATTTATGTTCTCCTCTGCAATATGCAGTTTGGTATGAATATTCATGACTATTACTGACAGCTTCTAGTCTTTGTTAATACAAATCTGCCCTTGGAAGAACAATTTAAATAAAATGGTCTTACGAGACTCCAAAAACATTAGAAATCATTCCATGTCTTATGAAAACGATCCAAACAAAACAGAATTCTGATGGGTTGTCCTCCTTGGTGATGGCTCAGGTGACAGTAGCACCGTACCTGACATCTCCGCTTTCCTAAATCACGTGCTGTCTGCGGCTCCATTGCAYTCTCCTGCTAGATTATCAAGCAAGGATTGTGAAAGACGTTTTTACGTAAAATACCAAACCCAGGAGGCTCCCGGCTGGAGATTTCACTTGTTCTGATGTTGGCACTACTTCTTCCTTGTTGCTTTCTTCTCCCTTTTCCTGAAATATGGGCATGATGCTGGAGGTGGAACAGCCATCGGGCCACCACGAGGTTGAAACCAGAGGTGCGAGGATGCGGTGACACCCACACAGGGAGCCTGGTGCCCTAATGGCCTGGTGGAGTTGCTACACCATCCTCTAGGCTGTCCCCATGCCCCTTCATCTGGCTGTCACTCTAGTAGGAAAATGGGTGAAATAACTATCTAGGGAATCCACCCAAGAGTGGGCTCCTTTGGGGAAAGGCCTACGTTATAGATCTGTGGGTCCTCCATGCTAAGACAGGTTCCTGTCCAATAAATATTTGTTCCCGGCTTGTAAAGAGCACTGGCCTGTGCCTGGGATGGCCGAGTTTGAGCTTCAGCTGTTCCTTGTGTCCAGCACTGCTTTCTGGCTGACCTGATGGACATTTCCAGCTACTACTAGGAGACCAGGGATCATGGATGCTGTCCCACTTTTCCTTGCAGTTACTGGTGAGCATGTGACATAGTTGTGATCAATACTGCACAAGTGGAAGTTGGCTAGAGCTCTGAAAAGTCTATTTATTTGTTTGTTTATTTTGGGACTGTTTACTTGGATTGAACCCAGGGAGCTTTACCACTGAGGTACATTCTTAGACCTTTTTTCTTTTCTTTCCTTATCWTTTTTTTTTTTTGTATTGAGATTGAACCCAGGGCATTTAACCACTGAGCCACATCCCTGGCCCTTTTTAAGTATATCTTATTTAGAGACAGGGTCTTACTAAATATTTGCTGGAGAAAAATGCTCTTTATAAGCTGGGAACAAAAGTGCTTACAGCCTTGCCAAGCCRCTGAGGCTGAGTTTGAAAGTGAGATCCTCCTGCCTCGGCCTTCTGAGCTACTACACCCAGCAGTATATCTTTTCTTCTCTTTTGGCATTTCTTAAATTTATTAAAATTTTACTTGGRAGAGGAATATATATTTTCTTAGGGACACAATTTAATCCATAACACAATGGAAATTAGAAAAATATTTAAAAWTTTTGCCAATTATGTGATTTGGAAAGCCTCCAAGTCACAGGATCTGCCTCTACAAGCTGAAAAACRAGGAAATCCAGGGGTGGGATCCAATCTGAGTTCAAAGGCCCAAGAACCAGGAGCTCCAACACAGGCAGGAGAAGGTGGATGTGCCCAACTCAAGAAGAGAGGATGTTTACTTTCTCCTGCCTCCTTGTTCWATTCCGACCCTCAGTGGATTGAATGAAGTCCACCTACACAGCTCATGGGGGGTCTTCTTTAGTCAATCCACCAATTCAAGCATCAGTCTCTTCTGGAAATACCCACACAGTCACCCCCAGAAATATTTTGCCATTTTACCAGGAATGTATTTAGACATCCCTTAGCCCAGTCAAGTTGGCACATAAAACTCTCACATTCATTTTTTGAAAAATATCCAATAAAATTGATAAACCTTGAATAAACTGACCAAGAAAAAAAAAGAAGTCACAAATTATGAATATCAGAAAACTATGCTTTTTGTTTGGAACGCTTACATTACCCATAGTTCGTACAATTATTGATATGGTTGCCTTGAAATGTACTATCTTCCTTGTTGTTTTCTATTTGTCCCATCTGCTCTTCATCCTTTTCTCTCTTCTWGTCTAGTACTGGATTAAGACAGTATTGTATTTCACTACTGGCCTTTTGGTTATATCTTTTGATAATTTTAAGTGGTTGCTAAAGGAAYACAATATATCTCTTCAAATCGTTAGCACCATCTATCTTCAAATAATACACTATCTCACATATAGTGAAAAAACTTTAGCCAGGTTCAGGGGCACATGCCTGAAATCCCAGTAGCTTGGGAGGCTGAGACAGGAGGATCAGAAGTTCAAAGCTAGCCTCAGCAACCCAGCAAGGCTGTAAGCAAAAACTTGGTGAGACCCTGTCTCAAAATAAAAAATAATTTAAAAAAAGACTGGGGATGTGGCTCAGGGGTGGAGCACACCTGGGTTCAATCCCTGGGAACCTCCTTCTCAACAACAACAACAACAACAAAAATCCTTTGTAACACTATATTTCTATGTCATCTCCTGTCCTTCAAGCTACTGTTTTTCTACMTGGTACCTCTTGGTATTTTATAACCCCCCTGCCAATACTGTGTTGCCATCTTTCTTTTAGAWTGACAGGAGTRGCMTGTTCTCCCATCCTYCCCACTCCTGGGAGGTGTACAAAGCACAGTGGTGAAGACTGTGGCTCTGGAGTCAGCCTGCCTGAGTGTAAGCCTAGTTAAGCACTTGCCAGTTATGTGACTGTGAGCAAGTTATGTCCCCTCTCTAGGCCTGGGTTTCCTCACCTGTAACTGGTAGATTATAACAGTACCCAACCTGTAGAATCACTGGGAAGATTAAATGAGTTCACGGATGTAAACGTAAGCACTGAATAACCAAGTGTCCATCRTCCTTCACTTTACCCTGTCTGGTCACTGCAGGCATTTGACTCTTTCCAGTGATGCTTTGGTCAGTGAACCAACTTCCTCCTTCTCTCAGCAAGCGCGTGCCCCAGGCTTCCAGAGGATCAACYGTTTCTCTCCTTCAAACCCAACTTCCGCTTTTCAAGTTTTTTTCACTGTCCAATTCTTTCCTTTTCCTCTAATTTAAAACCTCAGATTGAAGGCTGGGAAGAGGCTGGGCTGGTTCCAGCTGGGGCTCTGCCAGTGACTCGGAGGATAGCTCSGGCAAGTCCTTCCCTTCTCGGGTTCCTCATCTGTAAACTGGAGCCTGCGACCGTYCTGCAGACCCAACAGTCTGATCTCTTCTATCTCTTCCTTCCCCAGGGCTGAGGCTCCCGGGCCGGCTTCACAGCAGCCTCTTTCCCCTCCCCTTCACAGTCGTTTCCTTTACCAACTTCACCTCCTGGCCGCGTACGAGCGCTCCAGCCTGGCCCTTCCTCGGGGTCTCCCCCTGGCTATTTCCTGCGTTCCGCAGCTGGGCTGAAAGCACAGGTGACAGTTACAGCGACCCTGCCTGGAGACACTACTTTCAAGAGGGACAGACTGGTCCAGGATTTAAGGACTCAGCCCAATGAACTGGCATGCGGAGTAACGGTGTCAATGTCCTTGTCACACAGGGCAAGGGACCAAGGTCGCGGAAGGCTAACTGATCGGCGGATCAGCTTGTTAGTCCATCTGAGAGTCCCGCGGAGCGCCACCAACCTCGGCCCCTGGAGGTCATCCAGGGATACCAGCCCGCTAAGCCCCGCCCACGACGACCCGCCCACGGGCGTCCAACGGGCATGCGCGCGCTGTGCAGAGCCAATCAGGGCCGGCGAAGCGCGGGGACCGCTGGGATGGGGCGGGGCCGGGCCGCGGGGGACGCTCTGGTCTCCTCCGCCGGAGCCAGCGCTCTCGACAGGCTCCTCTGTGGTCCAGCTGGCGCCCAGTGGTCCAGATGGTTCTAGACCCTTGCCAGCCCTGGCCAATGAGCTGTTAAAGGACCCTGCTCCCTCGACCCAGTGGGCAAGCGGGTGAGGGACTGGTTGAAAGCCGTCAACCGAGGAACTGGAGTCCAGCGCTTCACCCTCAGGACCAGAAGGCAATCTGTCCTCCCCTTGTTTCCTGTCCTGCAGCCCAGGCCCCTGCTGCCAACAGACCGAGGCACGTGAGGAAGCCCTGTTCTCCATTCCCKTGCCCAGCCCAGCCCTGACCGAGCCCCAGCTGAGACCCGGTCCTCTCTCCCACTCATTTGATCTCATTCTCCTCTCGCTTCCCACACCTACCACGCTTCCTCTCCCCAACCTTGTCCTCTTGTCTCTCAAGCAGATTATGTTTCTTTAGTAGAAGCAAACGTCAAACCTTTAAAGAGGATCATAACTGAAGACTTCTGCTATGCAAGATTCGTATAGATAAAGTCACTCTGGATATGAACCCATTTTCCAAAATTACAAAGCAAGAGAGGAAACAACCCCCCAGGAGTGAGGCTAAACTCACTAGAGCACTGGAGTCCCTGTAAGTTCTGCTCCTSTGAGCTCCAGCCACGTGAGCCTGCCCTGGGCTTTTGAACTCACCAAACCTCCCCCATCTCAGGCTAGCTCCTAATAATAATTCAGGACCAACACAACTGCTTCTCTCTCTGAGAAGCCTTCTCTAATACTKCAATCTAAACAAGTTTCCTCTCCTGTAGTTTCTCACAGTATTGTCCTTTTCTTTCYTAGCACTTATCAATATTTTATTTATTRGTACTGGGGATGGAATCCAAGGACACTCTACCACTGGGCTCTATTCTCAGCTCTCTCTCACTTGCCCTTTTAAATTTTGAGACAGTCTGGTTAAGTTGCTGAGATTGACCTCAAATTTGAGATCCTTCTGCCTCAGCCTCCCAAGTTGCTGGAATTGCAGGTGTGCACTACCATGTCTGGCTCAATGTTTTACACTATAAATTTGTGTGTATGTCTTCATGGTATATTCATGCAGACCACAATTCCATGGGGACGTGGCCATTATCTTGCACAAACTGAGTGCTTATACTTCTGTGGAGAATGTGAACTGCATGTGACAGCTGCTTGTACATGTGGRAGTTATAAAAGCATCTACTCTGAGTACAAGATGCCTCTCACTGGTGCTGCCTGATCACTGTTCACTCATAGGGAAGAGATGATCCTCCTTCAATTACTGAAAACTACTGACATCTGGATCCAGAAGGAGGATTGTCTTTCATTCTGAAGGGAACAGTGCATAGCCATAGTACATCCTAATGCCAGAATCCTGTTCTCACTCCTTGCTTGCCTACTTTTCAGCTTGGCCAAGAAATTTTGCAATAATCTCCCGAGGACTCTCTTTGCCTCTCTCTTATCTCCATCTCTGTGTTTCAGGATCTGTTTCCATATCTGATCATCCCACTTCCTTGTTTCAAACCTTAACAATGCTTTATAATTCACTTGTTAATTCATGTAATTATTTGACAAGAATTTTGAGAGATTCTTTTATTTTAAGCACAATTATAGGTACTGGAAATACAGCTAGAAAGCAAGAGAGATGAAGACCTTCTTCCCATGGAACTGCATTCTCAGAGTCAGGATAACGCCCTATGAGATCAAGCTCCAGTGCCAGGTCCTGGCATTCAGGCCTATGTGGTGTCTTCTCCATTCTCATCTCTGGATATTTTGCTCATTCTCGTGTTTTTTGCTCACCCAGGTGTATGTCATGTAAAGATACTGAAGTTCCAAGGGGGATGAGAGGTCTTGTCCAAAGACATACAGTCACTAAGCATTGAAGTTGGGATTTGATCCAAAGATGCCTGGTGTTCTTGTACATATATCTCTTGTCCCACGATAGAGGCTCAAAACACCTTCCTGATGGAGCTATCTCATCATTTCACATGTATTTTTCCTTCTTGTGACACCATCACAGAATGRGGCTAACCAAACAACAAATCACAGTTTATCAACAGTGGTTCTGAGACCAGGTTTAAGAGTAAACCTCAATCCATGGAGAACAGCACAAGGGATAGGTGGGGGTGGAGAGGAATTTGTGAGCTGTGGAGATTCTGAWGGCTCTGGATTTATTATCAACTCCATGCTTTCTAGGGACTCAGTGGGTTTTGTGGACTTTTGTAATTCCATGGATACAGGGGACTCCGGGTGTCATGGAGTTTTCATAGCCGTCACTGTCTGCAGTTTAGCTTGCTTTCCTGGAAGGAGCTATGGAACAGTCAGGCAAAGAAAGAAGGATATTGGAACAAGCCTAGAGGTGAGTATCCAAATCTTAAAAGGACAGCTCTTTGAGTACAGAGTTAAGCAACATGGATCAGGTGTTGGCTTAATCTTTGCTCATAATCCCATGCTTGGAACCTGCAGCCTGTYTTCTTCCTCTGGTCCTGCCCCTGTGCATCCCCTGTACCAGGTGTCACCAAACTATTCCCCAGATTCCTCTGGGACATCTTGTTTGACTTTCTTAGATAGGTTTGGTCTTTCCCTCCTCTGGGCCACCATAACCCCAGGGATTTTTGTGTGTGTGTGTGTGTGTGTGTGTGTGTGTGTGTGTGAAGGCGCCTTTTCTACCATCCTGTTTGCTCACTGAGGGCAAGACCTGGGTGAGACACCAGCATTGCACAGCGCAGAGATTAGGAGATTTGATAGGAAACATTGGTAGTATTTAATAGATATAATCTATAAAGGGACACCAGTTCTTCACATAGGGTGCTTGGAGGGTGGAAGAGGATTTCTGGTCTTAGAGAGTAAGATATGGTAAACAATAGATGTCTAGCACCTTCCAGCACTTTCCCTTTCAAGTGCTGCAGAAGATGGGAGTGAAGTGTGAATGAAGGAGTAACCGAGGTGTGGCCTGCCTCCAAGCACTTCAGGCTGTCGTGGGCCTGTGGCATCTACAAGGTGCTGAACACTGCTTGCTAAACACCCAGAGGCCAACCTTTAGTTTCCACTCTGATGCTAGAACCATTGCTAGGGGTCTCCAATTCTCTTCCCAGTGGAGATTCAGTGTGCTGGGTGTGTGCGTGCRTGCATGTGTGTTTGTTGCAATCCTGATTACTCTTTAAATTATGTCTCTTAATTTTCATCTTTCATAAGGCTCTCTGGGGCCTTAACTTCACCACCTATAAAATGATCTGCAAGCACAGTCTATRTTTATATATCAATACTGAGTAAGGTAGATTCTTCTTAAGCCCTGTATTGACTTCTTCCTGTAGGACTTTATTTTTATTTTTGCAGTACAGAGGATTAAACCCAGTGGTTCTCTACCAACCAAGCTATATCTCTAGCCCTTTTTAAATTTTATTTTGAAACAAAGTCTTGCTTAGTGCTCAGGCTGGTCTTGTAATCCTCCTGCCTCGGCCTCCCGAGTTGCTGAGAATACAGGTAYGTGCTACTGCACCTGGCTCTCTYTGAGTCTTAATTATCTYATCATGATAGACTGGATTCCAAGCATAATGGGTACCTACCAAAATCTGGTTCTCAGAAGATGGGGTAGCTATGGATTTCCCTGGTTCAGCATTCTTTGGAGACATCTTGGGTTCTGGCCTACTGACTTCAGGGTTCTTTTGTGCTTTGATCTTTGCAGTTTTCYTTGCATTCTTCTTTCTGATATGCTTCACTCTAAGGAAATGAGCGTCTTATCAGTTCTGGCTCTCTACCTCTCTGCATCCCCAAATGGACTCTGGTCTTGATCATAGGTTCTGGTTTTGAGCCCCAACAACACTACCAGCTTGCTGTATTATCTATGGGAAGCCACATAACCTCGCTGGGAATTCATACCCTATAGAATGGGRATACCCTGTACACTGTAAGGAGATCACTAGTCCAGCTGACTATACTTCAAAATAGCTCATCAGTTTTCCCYGCCACTCACTCCTTCTCCTCCACTCCTCTGATGGCCAGTCATTCCCAAGCCCACTGCTCTCGCTGCCCCTCGACACTTGCCCCTGCACAGGCTTRGTTCTTTCCTGAGCGATGAGGCACCATCTGCCTGCTCTGGCCTCCGGGCTCTTGCTGTCTGATCTGTCCCATCCCAAGGTTATGCTTCCATTCCCACCTTAGCAGTCTCCCATGGCTCCCAAACAAATATTCAGTCCAAGGCATCTAGCATCCAAGCAGCCAGAGGCCCTGATGCCCGAACCTTGGCCTGACCTCCAGCAACTCTGCCTTACTCTGGGCTTCTAGCCAGTATTTTCAGCAAAGTACAAGGGTCTTTATGAAATAACACCAAGGACCTTTTCCAACCCACTTTTAACCATTATCTGTCACTTTCAAGGTACCTGACTTCACACAGACACTGAGAAATGCCTCAGTGTGCTGCTGGGCTTCTATATGCTACTTTCCACCAAAATGAGTACTTGGTCTTCCAGGCCCATTTCAGACAACGCCTTTTTTGTAGTACTGGGCATTGAACCCCAAGCCTTATGCATGCTAGGCAAACACTGTACCACTGAGCTACATCCCCAGCTCTTTTATTTTGAGAGAAGGTCTCACCAATTTTCCTAGGCTGGCCTCAAACTTGTAGTCCTTCTGCTTCAGCATCCTGAGTAGCTGGGGTTCTAGGTGTGTGCCACCACAMCTAGCTCTGTCAGCATCTTGTGGTCTCTGTTGGCTTCTCCAGGGCCACCACTTCTTTCCCAGATTTATCTTTTGTAAAATTCACTGAAAACTGAGTCCTGTGGGTGTGTTTTATGGCATGGTATAGCCCTGGTGTCTCTGTAATGACCCTTTTCAGACCCTGAGCTCATTGACTTTGTCCTCTCTGTGCTGGTACCAGAGCTAGAGTATGCAGGGTAGCAGGCAGGTAGGTAGCTGGTAGTAGGGAGAATTTAACCACAGTACTGGCATCTGCTGTGTGCCCCCAAAAGTCTCTGTGTTAGAGACCTAGTCCCTCAATTCACATGTTAATGGTGTTTGGAGCTGGGSCTTTGGGAGGAAATTARGGTTAGATGRTGTCATGAGKGTGGRGCCCCCATGATGASATTAGTGACTTTTACAAAGAGGAAAAGAGACCTGAGSTAGCACCCTTGCTCTGTCTCACCAAGGAGTGCCCTCTGCCATCTTATGATGYAGCAAAAAGGCCCTTACYAGAAGCYGAGCAGACAGATGCCATGCTCTTGGACAGAACTGTGAACCAACTAAACATCTTTTCTTTGTACATTCCCTTGTCTCAGGTATTTTGTTACAGCAGCAGAAAATGGACTAAGGCATACTCACATGAAGGGGAGGAGGCAGAGGAAGAGCAATGTGACTGCCATAGATCCATAGACAACACCCTGGAGCAGCCCTTTCAGAAAGATCTGGGGAGCCAAAGGACTCCTTCCTGGAAGGAGAGAGCACGTGGGGAAGGTTTCCCTCCCAAGACCTCAGATTCAGAGCCCTCCTCTGGTTGCAGTGCCAGTCCCCCCACCAACCCCCAGCCCCACCCTGCTCACTACTGTCCTCACCTAGTCACCGGGTCCTCCACTCACCTGACATCAGTAGAGTGCTCACAGCATGGGTTCCGTTTTGGTTCTTGCCCTCACAGAGAAGGCTTGTGCCCATCTCTGGCTCCTTGGCCAGGCTGATGGTGCTGTTGGCCCAGGGGCCAAGCGTGGTGGAAGTCACCTGGAGGCCGCCATCCACGCTGTTCACACCCACAGGGACACCGCCCACCCACCACTGCACAGAGGGCATGGGGATCCCGTGGAAGGAGCAGCTGCACTGCAGTGTCTTCTCCMAGGAGCAGGAGGCGTTGAGCAGCCTGGCGGGTGCTGTGGAGAGGGAGTGGGAGTCAGCAAGGCACCCCGACTTCCCTGCTCCCCCCAGGACCCAGGGAGCTTCAGGTAGACTTTCTAGAACCCCACAGGATCTAGGCCTCACAAACCAGTACCCCATTATCCCCCACCCCTGGGGTGCTTGGCCTTGGGATGCTGGCGAGTGATTTTCTGAGTTCCTGCCTTGCCTCCGGTCCCCGTTCCCCAGGTTAGACACCAGCCTGAGCTCCCCTCCTTCGCTCCTCACACCCCAGCTTCCTTCCGCCTTAGGCTCTGTGATCAGTCTGTGTCTGGCTGCTGTTGGGCGAATCGCTTCCCTTCTCTTTGCTGCTTCTAGGCTGGTGAATTGGGGCAGTAACCAGAACTATCTCGTTATAATCTGAGAGTGAATTTGTAGTGCTTCTAGCTCAGTGTGTGATGAAGTATTGACCCATTTGACAAGTAGAACACCTTTCTGTTTCCTTCTTCCCAGTCCCTGGTGGCCTCCCATGGGGCCTCCACCTGAAGCCAAGATTGCTGTGGCACTTTCTGGGTARGAAGGTTTGAAATGCCCCCACTCCACATAGAATAGGTACGACACGTTGACCATGTGCTAAATACCTTGGATTCACAAGGACTCCGCTAATGAGGAACAAGTCTTTACACTTTTATGTGTGTTTTCATTGATGTTTGAAGTTGCTAGAGGAAAGGGAGCATTATCCCTTGATCTCTGACTTTTCATCTGGGTCACTGTGGGCATGGGGAGTTTTCAGAGGGTTCCAGTGCACACCCCCGTCCCCTGCTGCCCTCTGCACTGTCTTTACCACCTGGAAAGAGTGCCCAAGGGGATACGAAGATGCTGAGAACCGACTAACCTCAGGGCTCCCCGTATCACCCRAATCAGCTCCTTGGGCTCACTTGTCTCCAGCCTGCCTGAGTGAGCCCCCACACCACCCTCACCTGCAACGCCACGCCCTGGCCCAGCCGAGACACTAATCCGCATTGATTGGTGCCTATTCCCTCACCTCCTCTGTCTTCTCCCACCGTAGCCCGCCCCTCCCCTGGCTCCCGAGACTGCCCAGCGTGCTTCTCATCTCACTTACTTGGCTCTAGCTGTGGCAGCCCCCTGAGCAGTGGGGACATTCTCAGGCACAGGAGAGCCCTTCCCTATGCCGGAAGGGACAAGAGGATGTGGTGGAGGGAATCAGATGTGTCTTGGCAAGGCAGGGACGTCTGTCTCCTTGGTCATCCCGAGGGCCTGTTCACCTGGAGAAGCAGGAATTCTATAGGACGAGATCTCAGGAGCAGCCAGGACAGCTGGGACACTCTGCCATGTGTAGCCCCAGTGCCATGTCTCCTGTCTCTTCCCTTGTCTTTCACTCCCCTTCCCCATTCCCCTGGGTTCTTTCTTTAAGTTCTCTCTTAAAACTAATGGGATCCGTGGAAGGGCTGTGCGACAGGGAGGGACAGGGTCAGGAGGGTCGGATGTTTGGACAGTTCCATTGGCACCGCACGAGAAATGGCCTGGATGGTGAATGTCTGCAGACCAGGTGGCCAGAGGAGAGACGGTGGCTGTGGTGGGGAGAGAAGGTTGCATTCGTGTTGGTGCCTGAGTGGAATTTCTGTGGTCCTTGCCTTGTCCAAAAAACTGTCAATCTTCAGTCCACATATTGTAAGACCCAGGCTATCTACTAAAAGATTTATAAAGTTTTCAAGCTAACAGAGAAAGAAATAAAGAAGAAAAAGCAATACCAAAGAGGGGAACGAGTGTATCTCACTTGTTTTTCCCTGACTACCACTACTTTATGTTTAATTTGGTTTTCTATTTCTGGCTGATCACAGCTTTAGCTGCATCCCAAGTTTTGATAAGCAGTATTCTATATACATAAATTTTCATTATCATTAAGATTTAAGTGCATATCCAGTTGAGAATTTTAAGACTGACAATATCGAGGGTTGGCAAAGATGTATAATGCTGAACTTTCATACACCGTTGGTGAGAATATAAATTAGAAAACCACATTATTTATCAAAGGAGAAGATACATATACTCTATGACCCTGTGTTCTACTCCTAGATGTATAATCAAAAACAATGTTTGCATATAAACACCAAAGACAAGTGAAAAAATGTTTGTAGCAACAGTATTTATAACAGCCCAAAGTTAGGCAATTCAAATATCATTAAAAATAGAATGGAAAAATAAGATACTACACAGCAATTAAAACATAAGTTAATGCTAGAAGAACAATGTGGACCAATTTCACAAAGTGTTGTGTGAATGAAGCCAGATACAAGTAAATAATAAAATAGGAGTGTATTCATTTTAAAGTTCAGGAAAAACACAAGGCTAAATCAGAATATAGTGTTCATGTATACACTCATAGTTAGTAAAATTCTTTTAAAAATTGCCAAAATTGCCCACTATAAAGGTCAGGGAGGACTTGTGGGGAGGAAGGAGGTGGTAGGTGGCAGGGGGCGATTCCATAGACCCTAACCCTCCACAGGCAACCCTCCAGTAGCCCAGTTCTCCATCGTCCATCTGACTACACAACCAGGTCACTGGGCACTGCCCATATTTTACCATATCTTTGGTAAAAACCCAAAGATAGGGCAGTCCAGTTCACTGAACTCACTTGTTTTTACCTCCTTCAATCTGAGTGTCAGGCTTCCAAACAGGATGCTGTTCATCCCCTTTGGATTTTCCATCCACAGACCAATCAAGAGCTATTTCTAGGCACCGTCTAAGTAATGGGGGGAYCTGGCAGCCCCTTAGGTGGTTCCAAAGCTGATCCTGGGGGAAACGAGGCACCTACTCAGGGATGCAGTGTACCCCTTGCATTCCCCTAGTAGCATGTTCCTTATAAACCACTTTCATTGTATTATGGACTCTTCTGCAATGACCTTCCTTACTAGAGTGTTTCTTTACAACGTAACAAAACACATCACTGGGTCCTTACTTTATGTCCTCTAGTGATAGGTGCGATTTTAAACCCAGTAGCCAACTAGCTCTCTCTCAAATGGAAACGTTCTGGCCCCAAATCCCAGCATTCACCACTGGGTGGCTCACTAGCTCTTTGCTATAGCTCTGTATCTAAGGACTCCAAGGGACTTGCAGGGTTTTATGGACAGGAGCTAGCAAGAGTCCTAGATGTGGGATTTATGCCCTCCAAAATCCAAATAAGCCAAACATTTGGTTCTAACTGGCCCATCATATATATACCCTATACTGTTTCAAATTAATAATCGAGTGGGTTTGGGCAACTTGACTAGTACTCACTTAGCACATTAAATCARTGTTGATTGAAGGGAAGGTTTACATGCCTTCTGTTTTACCACAGTGGGTAGGGGGAGTGTTTTCCAGGCAGAAACAATATCCATCCCCATACTGGGTTCAGGGAAACAGATTTACATAGTCTCCTCAACCATTCCAATTTTCACCCAGTTGGGAGGTGGGGGTACTGGGGATTGAACCCAGGTGTACTCTATCACTGAGCCACATCTCCAGCCATTTTTATTTTGTTATATTAARGCAGGATCTTGCTAAGTTTCTGAGGCTGCCCTCCAACTTGCAATCCTCCTGCCTCAGCCTCCCCAGGTGCTGGAACTGCACGTGCGCATCACCATGCCTGGCTCATSCAAACTTTAATCCCACAATTCAGTACTTTCCCAGCTCCAACTAGGACTTCACCCACAGGGTTTTGAATCACCATGTATGGGATCCCCATGYCATGGAGTCCTATAAATATCTCCACATTCATCCCCAGACCATTCTACCACTAATGGTCCCCGGCTGGTGGCCAGGCCAAGGGATCCAAGCCCTTGTGTCACTTATCTTATTGGACTGCTCATTGCCTCAGGAGATTTGAGGTCAGATTTCTTMTTGTCATAATTGCACTTTTTTTGCTTTTTCTATCCTTCCAGATGAGAGTAAATAGAGCAGACTTCATTTGTTTTCTTCAACATTGGGGTGGGTTGACAGCCAGGAAAGCTCACCCAAGCCTTGTGTCCGGTTTTTCCTGGGCCTCCATCACATAGGYGTGGTTGACATCCTCCATGTCTGACCACAGTACCTGGCTCTTCCTGACGTGGAGCTGACACCACCTGACAGACACATTCTAAGTCACATGACTAGACGATCTGCTGTGGCCTGCTCCACTCTGAATCACATTGTTAAAAATATCAACAGCCTTGGCACTAAATCACATTTTTAGATTATCCAGGATGATTTAGGCCCCCAGGAAAAGACAGTCCTATCAGACATGACACTCAAAAATTTAGACACTATCTCCAGAATAGGGCAATGACCTTTCTTCAGGAAAGGCTAAATTTGTTACTACACCAAATGATGAATTCCACATTCAGGAGAGCAGTTCAAGAGTGGGAGATGTGTTTGAGGGAGGAGTGTAGCAGGGGGTAGTGTTTTGAGTTTTGAGCTGAACTGTGGGYATGTGCTCTTGTGATACCTTTTTTATGCCTTTCTATATAATTAAGTGAAAATKGGATCATTTGTCATTTATGTAAAARCTTTACACATGTGTATTATATRTAAGTGTATGTACCTGTAAATTCACATATAATATGCTCATGAATGTACATACAAGAATGAATCAAAATGAAATGTTTAATAAGCTGGTACTWGTGCTTACTTATGGTTATAGCCGAATTGGGGAAAAGAAGTAGAAATTTTAGGTATTTTATTTCCAGCTTTATTGAGACATAACTGACAAATAAAATTATGTATATTTAAAGTTTACAACGTGATGATTTGATATCACACACAGTGAAACGATTACACCATCAAGTGAATTAACATACCTGTCACTTCACAGAGTAACTGTCAGTCAGACTTCTCCAGAAGAACAGGAGAAATAGAAGATCTGCAACTACAGGAGAAGATGTCTTAGAGTAGCCTACAGGATAGGAGGATGGACAGTCCCTCAGCGGCCAGCAATCCTGGGGGCTGCTCAGCCCAAAAGCTGGGAGCCTCAGAACAAGGGGACCAAYGATGCCGCTCTAGTCCGAGCTGGAGGTGTGAACCGCCCACCACCCACCACCACCACCTCCGAGAGCAGCTGGTGCTTCAACATTCAGAGGCTGAAGAATCTGGGGTCTGACTTCGGCCAGCAGCAGAACACACCG